AAAGAAAGAAAGAAAGAAAGAAAGAAAGAAAGAAAGAAAAGAAAGGAAGAAAGAAAGGGAAGAAAGAAAGGAGGAGGAGGACGACGACTGAGGGGAATGCTCTGTGAGCTTGGCTGTTTTCTTGCAAACGTTTCATTACCAAACTAGGGAATATCATCAGTGCTGCAACAAGAAAACAACCAAGATCACAGAGCATCAAGGACCCCACAGCTCGCCTCCGCCTGCTCTGCACCCCCGCTCCCTTCTAGCACTGATGATGTTCCCTAGTTTAGGTCTTGAAACGTCTGCAAGAAAACTAGGGAACATCATCAGGGCTAGCAATGAAACCTCTGCAAGACAACAAGCCAGCTCAGAGAGCACCAAGGACCCATCCCAATAAGGATAGAATAAGAACAGAATAAAATAAAATATATTAATATCTAGGTTGGTGCCACCAGTTCATTGTTCAAGGCAGGGACTTTTCAAAAAACCCTCTCAACAAAACGTTATCTATAAATACACTCCACACCATCCACCATCCAAAAAAACGCTTTTTGGTTTTTTTTTTCTTTCTTGGATGAGAAGCGAAACATCTTCAAAGAAAAACAAAAGTCCAGGTTGCCTCTTGAAAAAGCACCTTTGGGACAACCAGGACCTGGAGGATGGAGAAGCTCCATAGATGTTTGTGGGTTCAGTATAACACAAAACAAAAAATAAATAAATAGTGGGGTACCCAGGAGAAAGCGTCTTACACAGGGGTCCCCAAACTCGGCGACTTTAAGACTTGGGGACTTCAACTCCCAGAATTCTCCTGCCAGCTGTGGAGAATGGACTATGTCCAGAAATATTTCACAAGAAGAGTTCTCCACTCTACTCGTTGCAGAAGACCTGATGCCACCAGACTCGAAATGCTAGACCTAGAAAACCTAGAACTACGCCGCCTTCGGTCCGATCTAAGTATAGTATATAAAATCATACATTGCAATGTCCTACCTGTCAATGAATACTTCAGCTTCAACCACAACAACACAAGAGCAAACAATAGATACAAACTCAAGGTTAACCGCACCAAACTCGATTGCAGGAAATACGACTTCAGCAACAGAGGGGTCAATGTCTGGAATCCTCTACCTGACTCTGTGGTTTCTTCCCCAAACCCCAAAAACTTTAACCTTAGACTGTCTACTATTGACCTCACCCCTTTCCTAAGAGGCCTGTAGGAGGCGTGCATAAGTGCACCAATCGTGCCTACCGTCCCTGTCCTATTGTTTTTTATTTTTCTTTTATTTTTCTTATATGTACCCATTTCATGTATTCATAACTATGTATACACTTATACTTATTATCTTGTAAACAATTGACAAATAAAATAAAATAAATAAATAAAAATAAATAAATGCTCCATAGAGCGATGCTGGCTGGAGAATTCTGGGAGTTGAAGTCCCCAAGTCTTAAAACTGCCAAGTTTGGAGATCTCTGGTCTTACGTTTTCAGGGAACCAACCTGCATACCACGCTTTTTTTGATTTAAAAGGCCCTTTTGCAGAGATCAGAGTGAGGTTTTCTGTTGGCAGGATGATTTATGACAGAGAGACCTCCACTTATCACCCCAATGGTTTGGAAGAGGTGTCAACGAGGCCGCCTAGGTCCCAACTGAACAGCCCCTGGGAGGGATACGACACCAGCTCACTCCAGTCTACGACACAGTCCCTTCAGCAGTTCCAAGGAGGCTCTGAGTGGATGGTGGGGACTGGAACAGTGAAGGGACACCGGGCAGAAACCTCCTGAAGCCAAGAAGGCTCCACACCCATTGGCACCACTCAGGTGACCCTGAGGACACAGATAAATCTCCAAGTGGCCTCAACGACCCTCTAAAAGGATGCAAATGACCGGCTGTCTTGCAAGGGGTATAAATCCTTCCATTCCTCACCAGCCAGTCAAGAGCTGGAGAAGGCTGTTGGATGAGAAGAGAAAGCAAAAAAACAAGACATTCCTGTTGCTTCTTAGAAACAAAAGCACCTGTCAACCCTGACAGCACCTTTGGGACAACCTGGATGACTGACAATCTACGGAGAGATCGTGTTTCTCACCCTGAGCGACTTTTACCTGGGCTGGCTGGGGAATTCGGGGACTTGAAGTCCACGCAGCTCAAAGGTTGCTCAGGGTGAGAAACTAAGTGAAGCCAAGGAAGGCGGTGAGAAGGATCCAAAACCTCTGTTAGGAATAACAAGGTTACCTAACGTAGTTTGGGTAAAATAATATATATAAACTATGATTGTAAGTTTAAGTGTGTGTCACTTTAAACTGCAAAGCATGTAATTTTGGGTGTGGTTGTGAAACCGCCATAAGAGGGAACAAGAGAACCTGTCTGATTCCTGACGATTCCTGGTTTGATGGACTGATAGTTTGTTAACTGCGTGTTTCCCTACTGCTGAGTTGCTGAAGGAAGAGAGGAGTTTTGACTTCTTCATATCTCTACTGCGAGGAGATATATTCCTGGACTGATATTTGTAAGTTTACTGACCTCTTTTTCGACACTGGAATTTGCAACTGAATAATCCCCGGACAGACTGAATTAGTGAATGATATATGGACTGTCTTGACTATGCTAAAACTCTTACTGGAATAAACTATTTAACTAGCACAGTGTATCTGTTTTTACTGAGTGTAAGCTACAAAAACGTTTATCTCACATATTTTGCCTGCCTGCCTGCCTGACTGCCGTGCAGATTCTGCTAGGATGTATCCCTAACAATCTCTTTCTAGCCTCAATTTCCCCCTGAATAATACGAAGGATTCTCCAGCATTTCCAAAAACAAGGATTTCTCCTCTTCAGTTCGGTACGGCGGTATTAATCTTCTAAAAACGCAAGGAGATTGCTTAGATCAGGGGGTCCCCAATCTGTCGGGCTGTGGCCCATTTCCGCGTGATGGCCCTTTCACAACCGGGCCACGTGAGCACTGGGCCGCTACACACACGTGAGCGCACGCAACTCAGGTGAGCTATGGGCCTGTCCCCACCACCACACACAAAAAAAACATCCCCCGTTTTGCCCCGCCCCGTGCCAGGGCACCAGCCCAGAAAAGTTGGGGAAGGCTAGCTTAGACCATCCGGTACCCCTAGGGCAGAGGTGGGCAACTATGGCCCCTTTATGACTTGTGGACTTCAACTCCCAAAATTCCTGAGCTAGCATGGCTTGCTCAGGAATTCTGGGAATTGGAAGTCCATAATTCATAAAAGGGCCATAGTTGCCCACCTCTGCCCTAAGGGGAATGAAGAAGAAGGGAAAAAAAGCACTTTTGAGACCGCCATGGCCTGCATGACAGAGAATCACCGCAGACTACATGGCTGGAAGCAGAGGGCGCATGAGACATAAGCAAGCTTCTGACACGTCTACAGAGGCTGCCCCATGCAGAGTGACAGGCTGTGATGGATGACATGGCAAGGGGACAAGGGCATGAGTCACACTTCCCGATCCAGGAAGGACGGGCAACGGGGGGGGAAACCCTTTGTGGCAGATAATGACACCCTTCCTTTCCTGGCATTGCCTAGCAGGAGGGAAGACAGGAGAGCGGCCTTCCAATATTTGAGGGGCTGCCTTTAGAGGAGGAGGGGGGGTCAAGCTATTCTCCAAAGCCCCTGAAGGCAGGAGAAGAAGCAACGGGTGGAAACTAATCAAGGAGAGAAGCAACCTAGAACTAAGAAAAAAAATTCCTGGCAGTCAGAACAATGAACCAGTGGAACTGCTTGCCTCCAGAAGTTGTGAATGCTCCAACACTGGAATTTTATAAGAAGAGATTGGGTAACCTATTTGTCCGAAGTGGTGTAGGGTTTCCTGCCTAAGCAGGGGGTTGGACTAGAAGACCTCCAAGGTCCCTTCCAACTCTGTTATTCTATTCTATTTTTTTTTTCAGTGCCATTGTAACTTCGAACTGCCATTAAATGGTTGTAAATCGAGGACTACCTGTAGTTTTTCCTTGCATTCATGAAGAACCAATTCAAAGGTTGAGCTGAGCAATTTAATATAGACATTGATGTATAAGCTTGCTTCCAGGAACTTGTGATTCTCCAGACCACAACTCTTCATAAAATAAACTTGGGGTGATTTGATTTTAGAAAACTTCTGCATCTTTGATACGTACTTCTTCATTCCTGTTCCTGTAGAAATTTTTCATTCCAACTGGGAAGCTCCAGACTGCACTGAGCAATCTGTGGCAGGATGTAGCTTTCCCATGCCACCAAAATGTTCAAAAAGCAACTTTTTTTAAAAAACCACTTTTTCTATCCCTGTCTCCACCACATCCTCTGGGACTTGGAGAAGAGGAAAAACGAGAAGCTTTCTTCCCTTAACAACTCCTAAAAGACTGTCCATCCCAGTTGAAGGATAATATGACTTTATTCAAACTGAATTTGGATAGTTTGAGTACTTACAGCTTGCAGTAGGTGAGGGTTATCACAC